TTATAAGCCGCAACTAGTTGCAACTAGGTGATGCTTTATTTGTCACCATGTTGCAACAGTTGCCGCGCCATCTTTAGGCATACGTATTCAGTTAATTATACTACTTTTACGTGGAAAAAGTAAATGAACGACTATCAGGTAGGTACGTATTTATATTACGATTGAAAATATACCAATAACGATTTATATGGTTGCCATATGTAATACACGATGCACTTTCTGTGAAAGATATGTTATACGCATTCATTACCGAACGTAGATTGAGGTTAAAAAATACAAAGCCCAAATATGGGTAGACTTTATTTATTATTTAATTATCAAAAAAGTGCCAAACTTTGAGACCATGTCTACTCAGTCACGGTCGAGTTATATCATCATCACGTGGCACAACATTTTTATCCGGAATTCATATATTCGAAAAAAGATTATATAGTTATCCCATATACAGTATATAACGAAACATCTGACTTTGAGTATTTATTGCGAGGAAGCGGGATTATATTAAAAATCATTAATATGCGTAGATTGAACGGTCCGATTTTGTATAAGTTTTGCCGGTATTTAAATCATAATAATAACCTTCGTCATCATCGTCAGAAAATCCACAGAATCCATCATCATCAGAGGGTTCCGAGCTAGAATCTAAAGAATCATCGGGTTCATCTACCTCTTCCTCCAGTAAAGATTCGACTTTCTCGCTTATATTATTATCCTCATTTACGGTTTCTGGTTTATCCTTTGAAATTACTCCAGTAGATATGTTTACCTCTTCCACTGGTAAAGATTTGTTATCCTCACTTATCATATCTTTCGAATTAGACGTATTAGACAATGGGATAGAGGAAGCAAATGTTTCTGAATTTTTATTTTCCTTCTCACAAGAATTTTGCCGATCACTTCGTGAACTCGGTTCACAAAGTTGGGTTACAGAACTTTTCTCATCATCCCGTAACTCAGCCAGAGGCAAGCTCACATCAATGCTATAATCAAAGGATACATTATCTATAATATACTGAATTTCTTTTTTTGTTAATTTAGATATACTGTCAGCAGAAAAGGAATGAACGCGATAAATTTTATCCATACCTATTGCATCAAAAAGTTTATAAAGCTTCTTTGCTTTTTCGATTCTCTTACGTAAAAGGCTATCAGAAGTGTCTGCGGGTAACTGTGCTTTTACTTCTTTATTTAAAATTCTACTAACAGTATTGGATTCTGGATCAACTTGCCTTTCCGATGCTATTTCATTACGTCTTTGAATGAGTACCTTTCCAAATAGGCAATAACACACGATAGCTTCTTGGGTTTTACGATCAGCAAGAATTATAGCATCACAAAGTTTTTCATATAAAAGCGTAAAGTTAGTATTGCTGGGCGCTTCATCCTGGATAGTAGTTGTCACATCCCTATCTATATTATCATTATTAATAGAACTTGAGTTTTCCGAAATTTCTGACATGATTTTCTGTACTTTGTCTTGAGATCTAAGATTCTTTTCCCGGTTCTTTTCTCTTATTTTCTCACTAATCGTTTCTTTATGTATGCTATCCAGGAAATCATTAATTTTCTTCTCTTCCGATGATGCAGTTTTTATAGTAATAGAAGACGTGGAGGATCGGCTATTCTTTTTCTGGTATGTATCAGAATCAGATGTTATATCAGAGCTATTTTCTATTCGTTCGGGAGTAATATTAGAATTTGAAGTATTATCAGTTATATTAGATGCCGGAGTATCATTAGAATTTAATGGAGATCGCGGAACATCTTTTGTAAAAATACCTTTTTCTCCCTGTTCTAATATAGCGAGTCTGGTCTCAAGCTCTTTATTCTTTTGCTCTAATTCCTCGACTCTAACATCACGCTTTACATTTTCCTCAATAATTTGCTTCAACCTCGCATTCTCAGCCTCAATCTCAGCAAATCTTAGTAGCTTCTCTCTAAGTTCAGGAATTTCAGTATTCTCTTTCCTCAGTTTGGCAATCTCAGTCAAGAGCTTGGCATTTAATTCCCTTAATGAATCGTTGGATTGCATGTTCGATGATAATTTTTTATATGCAATGGAATAATTCAAAAGTTTGTTAGCATAGATAAAAAACGAGGTGATATCCTCATCGGAATTATTGATTTATTGATATAAAAGAATAAATTACAAGATTCGGTAATACATAAACTTGTTTATAAAGTTAAATAAAGTTTCGCTCATATAAGGCTCTAAGCTATCTATATGCTAACACGACATTAATTCTAATCCGATTTCATTTGTCCCCAACATCGGTATTTTGGATAGAATAAAAGGTTGTCAGTTATGAATAAAACATGCAGAGTCAGAAATAAATTAACAATATTGACCTTAGTGAACCCGCCGATAATTTATGTTTTTTGCCTTCCGTAATGTTAATTAGTCAATATGTTCCTTGAGATCCTAAATGAAAAATTATCTATTAGCAGAACTGCAAATGCACAATCAGTCAGCACAACCAAAAAAATGTTCGTATCTTTTAAAATTGCATGATGTCTCGTCGGGAATATTCGTGCTTCATATTGCGGTATGACATGGATAGACGTTCTCAAAAAAAAATTAGAATTGGATATAGCGGGAAGGAATTACCTAGGGTTCGAGATGTTTCTCACTTGAAATAACTACTATATCATTGAAAATAAAGGTTCTCTTCTGGTTTTTAATTATGTATATGTTTTTTGTCTCATATCTTTGCATAAAAAAATATTACCTAAGGCACACTAGTCATACAGATTAGAGCATGGTTTATTTTATTATTAGTTTGTGTCCGGCCCCAAAAAGAAGAGCAAATCATGCATAGACTCAGCAGGTAATTCCGCCATCAACCTCATTTACAAGTATTTGTGTGGCAGGTCATTCCGCTACGCTTGTGAGGGCTAGGTCTATGTTAAGAACAGGTCATTCCGTTCCTGATCTAACAACTTCCATCGGCGCGGACGGTAACTCAAACAAAATCGTTCACAGACTCGGCAGGTAATTCCGCCATCAACCTCATTTAGAAGTATTTATGAAGCAGGTCATTCCGCTACACTTGTGAGGGCTAGGCCAGTGTTAAGAGCAGGTCATTCCGCTCCCGATTTTAGCTGAGCACCAGATACGAAAGAAATCTATGCCACGTGATATTTAATGAGATCGCGTTGTAAAAATCACGTGAACGGTCATACAATATCAAGAACGCGTTAAATAGTGAACGAAATAAACCGGTGCTATCGAAATCCACAAAACGGAATCTACGAAGGAAGGAGCAACGACGCATAAAGAAGGCAAGACTTGAGGGACCCACCATACCCGATGCCGACGACGACCAGCACACCGCACCCGATTCTAACAATGACCAAGACAACGAAAGATTGGATTTATTTTACGACCCAAAAAAAGTAAGTCGGCTATTAGCGGGTTATATCTAGTGGTTGATAATTTTATGGTTCGACATATATGAAGTGAAGATTAGGGGCAGTTATCGCCTTTCGAGGCAGGCCTAGGATCCGGCTGTTCCCTCCCTAAATGCGAAAAAACTTCACTTTATATATTTTACCTTTAGCGTACGCTAGCCTCCAAGTTAAGAATGGGTTACCAAACTATTATCATCCTATAGTAAAGAGAGAAAGATTCGATACGCTTTCTAAAACCTCTAAGCTATTTATAGAATGAGAAATGGTTTACGTGTATCCTTCTTATCCTTTTTGAAATCTACATAATTCATATAATATCTAGATATTCACGTATCAATTATATTTTTTTTTCTTAGCACAAAACGCAAGCTGAGACTCGTGTACTTAAAAAAGAAGAAATCCGCGAATATATCCAGTCATATTGGGTTTCCGAGGACTTCAATCCTGATGATCTTAAATCCACCTATACATCGCAACCGTCCACGTTGTTTAGTCCAAGGTCTACATATGTCGAAAAACTTTCGGAAGATAAATATCGAAGGCATATTACCGAAACAAATTCGATAGATTTAATCACCAATGACAAAGAATTTTCGATACCTGCTAAATATTTAGAGTTATTGGAGGTTGATATTTTTCATGTTAGAGATCCTTTAGATCCACTCTCTTCGGAATTATGGGAAAGGTTCGGACAGTGGGCAGGTTTTGAAAAAATTAAAAAATTTCGACATCATTGCCGGCGCTTGTGGAAAAAAACAAAGCATGCGTACGAACAGCATATAGAATCCCTAAAAAATCCTGTGGAGCTTTATGATATCCCGGATGTGTTCTTACGCCATACGAATGACAAACTTTTTATTGCGGATGAAACAACTAAGAAGGTCGCGGGTGATGTCCATCTAGATGGTTACAAGTACGTTTCTAAACCTTGGTGTTTTAAAAATGCGATTGGTGAAACGATGATAGATTTCTTCGACCTCGACCTCGACAACTACCTGATCATAAGGACTGCACGAGTGATAGACCAGTATTATAAACATAACCTTAGTGAACCTTCTCATCGATCTAACCAATTTATCAAAGATTTAATAGAACATTTCGGTTGTTTTACTGATAATAACAATCTACCCTATGTTACCTCGAATACTGCTTCTACACATTCTCAGGAGCATCGTAAGTGTGTTCAAGATTTGATCCGAGGACTTCAGCCACTTTCCTTCGCAGTGAACGATTATCTTAACAACGCATATCCTGCATTATACACCAAAATGAAAAAACTTGATCTCGGTTCCAATGTTCCTAAATCTTTTGGAGCCTTTCCCACAATTAGTATTAACTTTAACAGCATATGTCAATTTCATCGAGATCTGAAAGACCATCGTAATACACTCTGTGTTGTATGTCCTCTCGGAATGTTTGAGGGTGGGCATCTAACATTTCCTGAACTAAAGTTGGCAGTTATGGCGAAGCAAGGACAGGCAATCGCTTTTCGGTCGCATCTCTTAATTCATGGGAACCTTCCAATAACGGCTGGGTCAAGGCATAGCGTTGTCTTCTATATACACGACACCGTTATAAAGCAAAAACGAAAATTTGCTTCTCTTTTTGATGATGGGGATTTAGATGTGCTGGAGATTCTAGATGGCACTTGCTCAATCGACGATGGCGTTATAAAACATGACAAGAAACTGCAGAAATGCTCCCCTCCTAAATTAGCTCCCCGGAATTCCTCAAGATTAAAAAATCATCGGCGGAGTCATCTTGGTAAGTATATATTATAGATGTGCAAGGTTATTTTGTATTTATATATATTGTTTATTTATCTCTCAATTAATAGATTTGGAACCCGCAAGAAGAGGCTTACCAGCGCAGTATAGGAAATAATGTTTTCATGATGGATTTAAATTCGAAATTTATAGTCACTTAATGTCTGTATCAAGCAATAGAAATTTATTATGATTCTTAATGTAAATATATCATTGATTATCATAGGTTAAATAAAGATTTCCATGTAAATATATGAGATTATGACCCATCGGGGCTTTTTATTGGCATGTTTGATTTAAAACACATGACATCGCTCCCCTGAGGCTCATTATAACGTGACATAGTGAAATAAATTAAATATATTTTTATTACGTATCATAGTAACGGAAAAATGTCTTACGAA